CTGCATATAAAAAATGTAGAAGTTTCAGAATTTCTGTGTCTTTATGTATGCCCATACTGACCAAAACTTGTACCTAGTGTCTTATATGAACATGATAAATAAACACTGTTTGTTGATTACTTTAAATGTAGTTAACAGACCAGCACTGGAGCCTGTGGAGCTTAGAGCAGAACTACACAACCTGAGTGACTGTACATGAGGACAGCAAGCAGCTGCCGCCGTCAGTTACAAAGTTAAAAGACACACACGCGCACACACAGATACATACGCAGAGTGATTGAGCTGGTTCTTGCTGAGCGCAGAGCTCATGGCTGTCCCTGGCTAAGACACACGCAGATGCACATAGGAGAGAAACACAACAAGAACATCTCTATACGTACTGGGGGAATCTCACCATAGTCTCATTATGTATCTGCTAGATAATGGTCTGAACAATAATTCTAGAGCAAGGATGACGACTGTGGAACACATTTTGGTCTTTCTGCTGATTTTGATCCCTTCATGTTACAACATGCAGACAGGTAAGTGAGACTCCTACACCAGAGGTCCTTCAAGCATGTCTTTCTAAAGTTTTCTAAAGTGTCTTATTACACTGACGTGGTGAATAATTAGAAGAACATGAAGTTTGAATTAATTATGCATGAAAGCTGCAATGTGCTTGCCAAGTTACAACAGCAATCCTAATAAATGTCACAAAATGTAAACAGATGAACAAAACGAAAAAAAAAAGGTCAAGGATAAACCTTTTAAGACCGTGCCTTTGGATGAGTGCACATGTGTAAGTGAATATAATGTGCAGAAGACAAAGAGAAAGCAGTCTGAGTTTTTCCTGGCACATGTAATCACCTGTTTCCCACTGCACATCCTGCAGGGAAAAGGAGAAGGTGTTTATAGGTCAACATAGTGTAAATGTGATTAAATCTACATCCTTCCTACACTTTGGGATATCCTCTCTGAAGCATATGGTAGAGGTGGTGGGGAACTAGCTATTCCTGCTTCTTCTTCACCACATCTCAGCCTGAGTGGTACACCTCTTGCTGAGCCACATTGGGAGGAAACAGCAAACCTGAGCTTGTTGTTGAACCAATAAGGTCAGCTTCAGGGTCATGAGATGCAAGATGGAGATGAAGTCATCGATAATACACTACTACACATTGGAAATTATTTAATGACTACACACATAAAGCTATACATGCTACAAATTGTCTCATAGAAACAGGTGGTGCAGATGCGGTTTCTCTTTGCCTGGGAGGCTATTGTAACAGTCAAGCTACACGGTGGACTGACATGGTGTAGGGTTAGGTTTGACTGTAGTTTTTTCCTGTGGAAGTCATTGATCAGAAGGTTGAATTGATGTGCATAGCTTCTTCCACGTCATTGCAGATCAACTACTGTCAAATAAGAAAATAAAAGTATTTCTTGAAGATTTGATTTAAACAATATCTACCACACATTACCATCTTAAACTATTCCACTGGATTTACAATAAGTCTTGAGTCACCCCTCATTTTTTTCTTTTGCTTCCAAGGACCCAGACTTTCTTGTACGTTTTAAAGCGGTCTAAAACAAGTTCTCCAAGCTTTCTGAAGGTCTTTCAAATTTTCTCTTTGGACACTGGCTTCTATTTTCTCTTATAACCTGTATTTCTGGGATTTCAATAGATCACTGAACCTATTTCCTAAATATAAAGCTAAATATAAAGAAATGAAGGGTGACTCAAGACTTTTGCACAATAGCGTACAATATTTGAGTTTAAACATCTGTGAAAATTAAATGATCATGGGTGCACTTTTTAAGATCAAGTGACAGAGTTTGGCTTGACCACAGTATAACAAACTGTGATGAATATTTAAATGAATATTTAGCAACTCTGGACAGACAAGTGCTATAAAAGTGTTATTATCTTATTACTATTGGTTGTTTTATTTTGTGTTTTTTCAGGCACTGATTAATTGACCAAAGCCAATATGACTGGCACAGAAATATTGACTTTCATGTCATGCTACGGGTGATCTGTCTTTATTTTCCCGCGTTTGGTTTAATTTGAAATGACTGCGAACCAACTGTGGTGACACATTGCAGCATTGCCTCACAGTAGAAGGTAACTGGTTTGAGTCTCCTGGTCAGCCGAGGCCTTTCTACGTGGAGTTTATATGTTGTGTCTGTTACTGACAGTCAGAAAGTATACTTGATAGTTGGTGGTTGTACAGGTAGCCAGTCCAGGCTTTTTTAGTAGCAGAAATCTACACATTGGATTATGGTTTCAATCTGTATCTGTCAAGTTAACAAAATTAGACTTTCAATATGTACACCTTCAGACTCAATGTATAATTGTTAAGTAATTAACTGTGCTGTAAGACAGTCTATCCTCAGAATCAAGATCACTTATGGATTCAAAAGCAGCCTGATTAGTTAAAGAGGCTTTTTAACATTGCTCAACATGCCTGTGTAACTGAACTAGTAAAAACAATGGAAGAATCCTTTGCAGACATCTGAGCACCAGATACACCATGAGAACAATGCTAATTTTTTGTTTTGTTCTCATTTGTCCAAAGTAAAAGTCAAAAGTTTCTATCTGGTCTGCACAACAGCATTGAAGTATGCCTGGTTGTGTGTGTGTGTGTGTGTGTGTGCGTGTGAGAGAAAGAGGATGGTATTTACAATTTGTCTCTGAGCATGGAAAAAACCCGGAGGATAAACTTTTATTCAAGGCAAACTCCAAAGGAACCAAAGGTTATGAGTTACAGGCTGTATGAAAAAAGCACATTTTATGGGATAAAGATTAGGAAAAGATACATTTTACCAGGACATTTCTTGAATTACACACACATTTCTAAAGTGCTGCACACTAACATAAACACGCTGGTTGCTACTTCTTCAGCCAATCAAGATCAGCATTAACACAGCAACACTAAAAATAATAAAGGAACTTGCTGTTAGTTTGTATAGGTTTGTGTAATGCCTATAGCAAAGGCCAGGAGGGATCACTGTAAGTGGCCTTCTCTAAAGGCCTTGACAGCCTTGAGTCATTTCTGGTGTCCAAAAAACATTCAGAGATTTTGGAAAAACAAAATCCTCTGCCGGGGTCAGATCCGCAGAGGTTCTCGTTTGCTTTAAGTGGTGAGTCATTTGGCTTCAGTCTTCAGATGTTACCCATCTGTTCAGACATAATATTGGCAATGGAAAGACATTGCAGACAGAAACAAACAGTCTGCAAAACTTCTCCAAATCTGCTGCAACTTTAATACAACATAATACTTGAAAAAAATAAATAAATTAAAGTTCTTAAGAGGAAGTGTTTCCTGATATTCAGCCTAGTCCTTAATCCACAACAAGGGTAACAGCAGTTCAACATGTGGTTAATTGCCTTTAATGAGATGGAAAGTTATTTCACCACAGAATTTATTAGGATTTGTTCTCTTGGGACAATGAATGTCCACACAAATTGACAAGACAATACATAGAATAGTTCATTGATACTGAGTTCATAGACCTCCATCTTACTTTGACTTTAGCTACAAATATATCATTTTTCTAAAGACCAAGACTTTTTCAGTACATGAGTATGCTTTATAATAGGTTTTGTTTTCATCAGTCAGTTGGAAGTCACAGCAGCAGTGACCTTGAATTGAGGGTGGGGATGTGGCTGCTTCTCCCAGCTATGTTATTGTGAAATCTTGGTTTCACCAAAGACAAAACAAGCACAATGTCCTGTAAGCCCTAATCCTATCACTGCTTCTTCTTTCTTCTTCTTCTTCTTCTCTTTCCATGCTCTCACCCTTCCTCTGCTCTCTCCTTTCATCCCTCCGCTGGTTTATATTTTGCCTCTTTCTCTTCTTAGTTCGTGCAAAGTTTAAAGCAACCCTAACTCTCTGATCTGAATCCTGTGTTTCCATCTCCTTACTTCTCTTTGTCTTTTAAAAGTGAGCTTTTTGTATCTTTCTTTTAAACCCACTACCAATTCTCTACTTCTCAATATAATAACCTAGAGCAACAAAACAATGTTGAAAATACAAGCTCAAAATTCCTGCAACTCCCTGTCCGTTATTAAGACGTAGTAGCCAAATAAATATTGATCATATCTTTAGTCTGGATGGATTTACATCACAAGAGATGTGTAATATTTTGCATAGTGTTTGTACACACAATTGGTGACTTATTCACCCTAGTTTTAACAAAGACCATGTGCTGAAATCAGATAGTGGAGAAAATTGGGTGCTGTGGGGATAAAGGCTTTCCTTGAATGTTAAATTTCTCTGTTGTCTTTGCTTTAACCTCACCCGACTAACAGCAACCCTCTAAACACTAGATAAAGTTCAGCTTCTATACTGGTCTCTCCTTTTGTGCTATCCTCCCTTCCTCGTCTTAATCCTCCAAAACTAACCAAATCCTAAATGTTCCAGATGTAATTCTGACAATAAACATGCTTCTTCTTTTTCTTTCATTATCTCAAGGTCAAATTCTTCTGCTTACTCAGGTCAAAACTGTGACAAAGCACAAAACCTCTGACCCTGTCTCATTAGTCAGCAGTGTTAGCTGGATCCTCACTGACTAAAACAGATGACTCAGTCCAACAGAGGAATGCCAAGAATGTCAAATAATTTAGCTAAAAAGATGCAGCTGTTGAGACCTCCTTATCACTTATTATAATGTGCTCGAATCATTATATTGCATGCTGAAATAAATGTAAAAAAGAAAAGAAAAATGTACAGACTGTGAAATGTCCAATATCTATTTTTGTCTAACAACAGGGCTCCTTATAAAATATGAAAGCTTTTGTAATAGTATTTTAGATTTCTAGACATAGTTTACTTATACGGTATCTAATGATTAACTAATAACTGCCAATATAATTCTAAAATTGCAGTCACCTATAAATGAAAAAGTAATTAATTCAAGTTTTGTAGCTCCTGCACCCAAAATCACAGCAAATACAATGTACTATCCTTACAGTTCTTCATTCAGACTTTAAGGGTAATAACATATAACCAATAAACATTTAACAGTGTATTATGTAGCATAAAACATAAATCAGCGTATTATGTTTATGTATTAGCTCAAACACAAAGTTCTACAACTACAACAATAAATAACTTACATATATAAAGAAAAATCTCGATTTTTTTCCTTTGGATCTTTTTTTCGTAGCACCTCGTATCATCACATTATTAGAGACAGTGGACGTTCTACTGGATCACAATGCCACCTTCATCTGTGAGGTGGAGTCACACCCCCCTGCTGAGATTACCTGGACCAAAAATAATCACCAAATTATGTAAGTTTACAGCTTTATTTAAGTTCACTGTTGTAGTTTAATTAAGAAATTTGCTATGATTATACATATATATATGCCTGTGTGTGTGTGTGTGTGTGTGTGTGTGCGCATATATATTTAATCTTACAGCTTATTTTTCACTAATGAACTGCAATGCATATTATTCTTGACATGGTGCTTGCACTGATTAATCTTAAATATACGTTTCTATCTATATTTATATATCCATCCTTCCCCCTCCTGTTTTTTATTTATTTAATTTTGATCCAATTTAGAGTTGGGTTGGGGCTGTAGTCTAACCCAGGAGTATTACATATAGAACATATATCCAGTGATCACTTCTTTGCTTTGCACTGTCCTTTTTGTCCCATTAGGTACTATGACACACGGTACCTTACCAAGGAAAAGGGTCAGATGTTAATCATCCCACATGTAAGAGAGTCAGACAATGGGGAGTATTGTTGCCTTGCCAGTAATGGCATTGGAGAACCTGCCAAGAGCTGTGGAGCGCTTCAGCTAAAGATGAGTATGTTTACTTTTTTCCGAGGATGTATGACTGGAGTTTGAGCAAATCTGATCATTATTTCACATTTTTGAAAAAAATAACCTAATACCAAGGCATCATTAAAAGAAACACATTCCAAGTCACTGTTCTATGTCTTGTTGGTCTCGTCATCAGAGCCACAGATCAAAAGGCATCCCACCAATCTAACACTACTGGTAGAATCCAAAGCAGTGTTGCCCTGTGTTACCCTTGGCAACCCTAAACCAGATGTCACGTGGCTCAAAGATGATGAGCTTATCAAGGTACAGTTGCTGCAAGTTTTCTAGGTAAAATACATGTAGTTCACTGACTTATGGAGTTAATATTAACTGTCTGAGAGTACCGTATACTCATGAGTAATTCATTTTTTCACTATTTGACCAGAACTGCAAATAGCTGGATAGTTTTCAGGTTTTCAAAACTGCAAGACATTACTTAAAAAGGAAAGTTATCCATTATGTGTTTTTCAGTTTGCTTTCTTGTGTCTCATAGCCTGTGTTGACAAATAGTTGGTAATAAATAATGCTAATATATCAGTTCTATTTTTAAAACAAACAATAACTCTTCCAGGTCAATGACCGTGTTACTATTCTCGACTATGGGGCATTGAAAATTCATAACATACAGAAAGAGGATGCAGGACAGTACCGCTGTGTGGCCAGGAATAGCTTTGGTTTGGCCTTTTCAAAGCCTGTCACCATAGAAGTACAAGGTATGTATTTTAATGTAAGCTGTAGCTTGCGGTGGGACCATGTGTGTTTTTTGTCTGCGCTATTGTTGTTTGTGTGTGCCCTCAGCTCCAGCACGAATCTTGCGGGTTCCAAAGGACAAAAGGGTGGCGTATGGCAGCCAGATTTCCCTAGAATGTAATGCCACTGGAAATCCAGTCCCAACCATTACCTGGCTGGAAAACGGGAATACTGTGAGTACTCAACTTGTGTGTGTGCGTTTGTGGGTACCTGTACAGCTGCTGATGCTGATATTTTTATAATATATACTGATTTTTTAACAAAAAAAATCTAATTTAATCAAAATATCCAGCCAGTTATACATATCCATTCCTTGGCCTCTGTGTGATCCTACCAGGAATATGCTTGTCTCCCCCACAGTGGTTGCAACAGTGGTTGAATTTGGCTCAAATGTCAGTCACACACTGCCAACATAAGACAAATTCTAGCACGTAGCTAAAATAGTGACACATTGTCAGCTGCATAGCCGTACATAATGGGAAAGCGGCAACAATAATTGATTAAATGTCCAAGCTGTCATGTGAGAGAGAGTGATGTTATGATTGCAATTTGTATTCATTATAACCCCATATCAAAAGCAAATTAATAGTTTATTCTCTGCTGTAGGCATAGATATAGAACTACACAAATAGTTATTGTCTAAATCCAACACATTATCATTACCCACTTTTTTGACTATAGCTAAAGAGATGACAGTTCACTGGGTAAATGCAAATGCTTACAAGGCACTCTTGGAAACAAGTCCGTTCCTTGGTTTCAGTTCTCCAGTAAGAATTATAGTATCCAAGTGGGCTTGCCACTTGGATACTATAATTGGATACATTTTTTTTTCTCTTTTTAGACAAGCTTGCTTGTGTGTAGCTCTGCAAAATAGGAGCGGTTTTATTGATATATGTCCATCTGCTGATGACTGAGTAAATGACACAAAAGTAAAAGGAGTTTAAAGTTTAAAGTTTGCAGCTGGGCCTTATTATCGCTATACTAGCAAAAAAAAAACAACAACCCCAAAACCAAACACAAAAACCCCTTACACTGGAAAGCTAAAAAAACATGGTACTGTTATATTAAGCAGCTACTTCTGCTACTCCTGTACATAAAACAACTAATGATTTAGTAAGAAACTGAACACAAGCTATACTTTAAAGATCAACACTAAATGTGGGTACCTAAGGGTACCCACAGGTCTGAATATTTTTGTCTTGGCTGTCATAAGCAATATTCTATGGTTATAAAAACAACTGTCCATTTTACAGTTTGAGTGAACATAAGGCTTCCTCCTTGTTTTTGGTTTTTTTTTTTTTTTCTTTATCAGAAATGAAATCAGTTAGAGACTGCGCAAAGTAAAAAATAAACATTTAACTTACAATTTTTGAACATATACTATAGTACCACCTTTTCTTTGAGCTTTGCCCGAGACCTACTCATACAGGGAAACATTTATTTGTGCAATCCTTGTACATGTAGCAACAAAATAATTAATCATGAAGCAGAGTGAGCATTAGCAAATATACAAACCAAGACCTTACCTGAGATTGTATGCATATATATGTAAAATTACACATTTAACCTTTGCTGTCTTTATCTGTCTCTTTCATGCACACACACACACACACACACACACACACACACACACACACACACACACACATTATTTAATGGCTTTGAGATCACAGCAAAGGAATTATCATCATGGTGACAGAGGATTGAAGAGATGATCTTGCATTTAGCTTATAATACACTCTGTTATTAGTGTTAATTGGTTTTTTTTTTTTAGAGTGAGAGAGGTATTGAAAGATGGGGTTGTTTTTTAAGGTTTTTAAGGGGTTGGAACCTTAAAAATGCATGAAATTCAAATTGGAACAATGCAAACTTGAACATGTATGTGACCACCTTTAAAACAGGGCTTTTTTTTTCATCAGGCAGCAGACATTTCTTATGCATGCTGTTGTGGTCGACATACACCACATAATGTCTGGGTATTTAATAGTCTTGGGTGCTAGCTACAAAGTGATTACATGCTCTTAATGCCTGTAAATACTATGTGTGGGCATGTGCTGATTAAAATGACTGTGAGAGTTGTTTTTCTGGCAGCTTGGTATGGTCATTAATTTCAGTGGATGGATGGATGGAGCTTGTCCTAAAAGCAGGCGGTGTCAGACGCAGTTTCAAATATAGACATAGCCGCTTAATAGCACCTCTCACACACACGCAAATGCTCACACTTTAGAGGTCCTCACATATCATTTATAAATATATAAGTACATACATGAATCGTCTAAAACAACAGATACATTTTATCTGGCTAGATTTACAATGTGTGAATACTTTGGGAATTTCAAATCTGCTAAAATAATACAAGTGGTTATATCAGTGCCAGACACGTACTGAATGCATTTCATTTTATGAGCTTAACACAAAGGCTATAATGATCAGTGTATGAGGAGTTTACACACAATTATTTTTTTAACTAACCAGTTTTACTCAGACCACTATCAAATATCAAATGACCAAAGTGTCAATAAGAAAAAAATCTTGTAGTAATCTGTTATTACTCTTATTATTAGTAGTTTTATATAAAGTCTAGATCTAATTTGAGATATATAAGAGTCATAATTTGAATTTTCAAAAAAGTTATAATAGATTCAGTATTTATCAATATTTTATATAAATATTTAATAAAATATGTAATATTATATATAAATAAACTGTCATGCAGCACCCTGTATTATATAAATTATTGCTAAAATTCACCTCCCATGCAGCAGTTATGAACAGGAAAGCTAGGCAGAGAAAACAAAACCTGATATTTATGTTTAATTCAGCAGAGGACTCAATTCAGCCTCAAGTGGCCATTCCAGGAAGTGCAGTTATTTTTTCCAGCTCTGTCATTTAAGCTTAGGATGCTCTCACAGAAAGTCTTCATGCATCTCTGCACTGTTATATGCAAATTGCTCATTGCATGACTGATTTTTACAACTTTTACCTCTTTGTCTCAATGTCATTTTCCTCCAGATCTCCGGAGCCTCAGTAGAGGAGACATTAGTGGGAGAGGTGATACTCTCTGTTCTTAAGGTGACGGTGACTAAGCCAGCCCTATATACGTGCCTGGCTTCCAACAGACACAATGCTGGAGCCAACACTGTCAAAGCAACTGCAAAAGTCACTGTTGCAGGTGGCAAGTTTTGATTTCCAGCTTATACTATGGTGTTACATATTTCAAATTTGCTGCAACCTGCTGCTATATTAGAGAAAAAATGTCTGCTTTCTTTTTAGCTTCTATCTCGGTGTTTGTTGTTACTGTCAGTACTACCTGCTGTTATGCTAGCTGCCAGTTATATTGGTTGTGCTTTGTGTTTTCAGCTGTTTGTTGCCTACCCCATTTGGTTACTACTCCTCAAACAAAGCCACTCCTTCACACACACACACACACACACACACACACACACACACACACACACACACAC